GTTCCAGTGAGTGCTACCACTTCTGCTGCACCAGGCACAACAGCATCTGGAGCTCCAACAACAGGACCAGCACCTACAGGTATAGTTACTGTAGCACCACAAAGATCAACCACAGCATCTGCTCCAAGTACAAGAGGAACAGGTGCAACAGCCACTACAATACCGGTAGTACAAACAACCGAAGAAGGTAAAATTGTGTTTCTAACATGTAATGATTTTAAAATTGTACTTATAACATTTTTTTTTGAATAAAAAACTCTTTTTAGAATTAGATATTATTCTACTTATGATGATTGAAAAAATTGAATAGATACATCAAGACATTCTTAAGAAAAACAACAGTTTTTTAAAGAATTATCTACTTGTATGTGGTGTACTACAAGCCTTTATTATTTTTTACTTCGCCATGCAAACCTTTAAACAAAATAAATATTGTTATGATTTTTAGTTAACTATGTCAACACTTTTTCTTCCAGCTTTTAGCACACAATGAACTTACCATTAAACAACTAAATAAGAATCATGTATTTTTTCTTTTTATTTCAGTATGTCACATGGACCTGGATACTGTTGATGAATTGGAAACAACCAGAACTACTTCTGATAATATTGCCAATCCGGACAGTACAAAGATTGACAGCGAAGACCCATGGTATCCAAAGAATCTGGATGAAGAACCAAATCCTTATGTGGATATTGAGTTTTCGAAACCAGTCAGAATGACAGCTCTACAGATACAAGGCGATGGTCCCAATACTGTCACAGAGATATACATCTTTTACAAAGAACCAAATGCCGAGACCTTAACCAGATGGAATAAGTTGGTAACAATTCCAGATGATGAGAATAATTCCATACCAGCGAAGCTTGAACTTCCTGAAGACTTTCCAATTGTTGAAGCCATAAGAGTTGAAATAGTGTCTTATGATGATAACGAGCCAACATTACGAGTGGCGCCGTTTGGATGTTTACATGAGGTGACAACAGTATTACCAACGGAAGCTGTGACAGTTCCAGTGAGTGCTACCACTTCTGCTGCACCAAGCACAACAGCATCTGGAGCTCCAACAACAGGACCAGCACCTACAGGTATAGTTACTGTAGCACCACAAAGATCAACCACAGCATCTGCTCCAAGTACAAGAGGAACAGGTGCACCAGCCACTACAATTCCGGTAGTACAAACAACTGAAGAAGGTAAAATTGTGTTTCAAACATTATGTTTTAATTTTTAAATTGTACTTATATCATTTATTTTTAGAAAAAAAAATTTAGTAATATTATTCTGCAGATATTATTCTCCTGATGATAGTTGAAGGAATTCAATAGAAATGTCGAGACATTCTTATAGAAATGAACAGTTTTTTGTTTAATTATCTATGTGGTGTACTGCAAGCATTTAATATTTTTTACTTCGCCATGCAAACCTTTAAACAAAAACACTATTGTCATGATTTTTAGTTACCTATGTCAACTGTTATTTATCCAGCCTTTAGCCTTTATCGTGCATCTTTTTTTATTTCAGTATGTCACATGGACCTGGATACTGTTGATGAATTGGAAACAACCAGAACTACTTCTGATAACATTGCCAATCCAGACAGTACAAAGATTGACAGCGAAGAACCATGGTATCCAAAGAATCTAGATGAAGAACCAAATCCTTATGTGGATATTGAGTTTTCGAAACCAGTCAGAATGACAGCTCTACAGATACAAGGCGATGGTCCCAATACTGTCACAGAGATATACATCTTTTACAAAGAACCAAATTCTGAGACCTTAACCAGATGGAATAAATTGGTGACAATTCCAGATGATGAGGATAATTCCATACCAGCGAAGCTTGAACTTCCTGAAGACTTCCCAATTGTTGAAGCCATAAGAGTTGAAATAGTGTCCTATGATGATAACGAGCCAACATTACGTGTGGCGCCTTTTGGATGTTTACATGAGGTGACAACAGTATTACCAACGGAAGCTGTGACAGTTCCAGTGAGTGCTACCACTTCTGCTGCACCAGGCACAACAGCATCTGGAGCTCCAACAACAGGACCAGCACCTACAGGTATAGTTACTGTAGCACCACAAAGATCAACCACAGCAGCTGCTCCAAGTACAAGAGGGCCTGGACTTGCTGCAACTACCACACAAGTACTACAAACAACAGAACAAGGTATTGTTTCATTTTAATACAGTACTTTTGTATTTGGTTTAATTATTATTCATTCATTTATGTTTTTTGAAATGTCTGTTGTTGTTAAGATAATTACGTAACCTCTATTAAACCCTGTTCCAGCTTTTAGGAAAATTGTATTTTTTTTTACAATTTACTATTAAGAAATTGAATTACAAAATTTTATATTTCTTACATTTTAGTATGCCACATGGACCTGGATAATGTTGATGAATTGACAACAGTCAGAACTACTTCTGATAATGTAGCCAACCCAGACAGTACAAAGATTGACAGTAATGAACCATGGTATCCGAAGAATCTTGATGAAGAACCAAATCCTTATGTTGATGTTGAGTTTTCAAAACCAGTGAGAATGACAGCTCTACAGATACAAGGAGATGGTCCCAATACTGTCACAGAGATATACATCTTTTACAAAGAACTAAATGACGAGACCTTAACCAGATGGAATAAATTAGTAACAATTCCAGATGATGAGAATAATTCCATACCAGCGAAGCTTGAACTTCCTGAAGACTTTCCAATTGTTGAAGCCATAAGAGTTGAAATAGTGTCTTATGATGATAATGAGCCAACATTACGGGTGGCGCTGTTCGGATGTTTACATGAGGTGACAACAGTATTACCAACGGAAGCTGTGACAGTTCCAGTGAGTGCTACCACTTCTGCTGCACCAGGCACAACAGCATCTGGAGCTCCAACAACAGGACCAGCACCTACAGGTATAGTTACTGTAGCACCACAAAGATCAACCACAGCAGCTGCTCCAAGTACAAGTGGACCTGTACTTGCTGCAACTACCACAGAAACCCTACAAACAACCCAAGAAGGTAATGTTTATTTTTTAATTTCTTTATTAAGTCATCCATTATTTATACTTTTTGGAGATATCTGTTGTTGTTAAGATTATTTTTTAACCTATATTAAAATTTGTTTCAAATTTTAGCAAAAATTTTCATATTTTTTTAAATGTACCATTAAGAAATTAAAATACAAAATTTAACATTTCTTATATTTAGTGTGCCACATGGACCTGGATACGGTTGATGGATTGACAACAATCAGAACCACTTCTGATAATGTAGGCAACCCAGACAGTACAAAAGTTAACAGTGATGAACCATGGTATCCAAAGAATCTGGATGAAGAACCAAATCCTTATGTGGATATTGAGTTTTCAGAACCAGTGAGAATGACAGCTTTACAGATACAAGGAGATGGTCCTAACATTGTTACAAGGATATACATCTTTTATAAGGAACCAAATGCCGAGACCTTAACCAGGTGGAATAAATTGGTAACAATTCCAGATGATGAGGATAATTCCATACCAGCGAAGCTTGAACTTCCTGAAGACTTCCCAATTGTTGAAGCCATAAGAATTCAAATAGTGTCCTATGATGATAATGAGCCAACATTACGAGTGGCGCCATTTGGATGTTTACATGAGGTGACAACAGTATTACCAACGGAAGCTGTGACAGTTCCAGTGAGTGCTACCACTTCTGCTGCACCAGGCACAACAACATCTGGAGCTCCAACAACAGGACCAGCACCTACAGGCATTGTAACTGTAGCACCTCAAAGATCAACCACAGCAGCTGCTCCAAGTACTATAGGACCAGGACTTGAATCAACCACTTTACTACAAACAACTGTTGAAGGTAAAAATATGTTGGTATTCTTAATGTAAAATTTTGACAAAAGGAATAATCATTTTATTTGCATGTTTATAGACTGCTTGTTATAGATCGTTTACATATATTAACATTTGCTTTAGCCTTTATGAAAATGTTGAATTTTCTACAACGTAATTATTGATAAAGAAACTGCAATAAAAAGCATATGTGTAAGAATTTTCTCAATACACAATATTTACTTTCAAAATTTCTGATATTTCATATTTGACCTAATTATCAAGTCTTAGATTTTGGTAAATATTTGCCCTTTGTACTTGTTGAGAGATGGTTTTCTTGCCCTGAGATAAGGGAAAAGGGATAAAAGGTACCAATTATGTAAGACCTAGTGATCAAATATCGGACAGATGATATTGGTAAGTTATGCTTTTAATCGTCTGAGATTTGTGTTGTGTATAGTACATAACTTTTTTTATTCATTCTTATTAAACAAATTACCGAATGCATATATTTTTAGTCTGCAGGGATGATATTGGAATGAGTGTTGGTGTTGTAACAACTCGAAGAACATCTGACAATCAAGAGTCTTCTCTTTCCAACATTGACAGCAATAATCCTTGGTCACCAAATATTTTTGGTGTAGAAAACCCATGGTTAGAGTTTATCTTTGATGATAGTGTAAAAGCAGCCAGCATAGTCATTCAAGGAGATGGCGACAATGTTGTTACAAGATTCCGTGTTGATATAAGAACTGTTGGCATTTCAACTTTTATTGAATATCCACAAGTATGTTTGTTTGTATTTTTCAACTTTGTTGTTGAGTGAACCCTAATACTGTACCCTTTTATAAATTGCATTGACAGGTGAAACACTTTGGTAGGTGAGACATCTCTAAGATATGTTTTTTACACAATTGACAGGCAATATCAACAGTTTTTTTTGTTAAACCTGAACATTACCTGTATTTTATGTGCACTGATGACTAAAGAAAGTAAATACCATTTATGCTATTATAGATTTTTCAAAATGTTATTGCAAATAGTTACAGATTGTTTACCATTTTTATTCTCATGGCAGGTTTTTGATGTAACTCCAACTGTGGATAACAGTGATGTAATTGAAACATTTTTGCCAAACCTACCATTAGTAACTGGACTTCGAATTGTGATTTTGGATTATGTTGGAATTCCAACTTTGAGAGCTACAGTTCATGGATGTGTTTTAACTGGTAATTTGAGCATATTTATGTTTTCTGCATTTAACATGTGATTTACGATAATATATTACTTTTTAATATAGAATACTTGCCTAACTGCTGTCTTAAACATTACTTTTATTTCACAGCAACCACAACTCCATCAACTTCTGGTGTTTCAAAAATATCCACTATTAAAGCTGTAACAAGTATTTTGGGAGGCGAAAGGACAACATTATCCCCACCCACTTTCAAGCCACCTACAAATGCACCAAAACAGACAACTGTGCAAATACCAGTTGTTACGACAACACCTGTTATGCAAGTAACTACAACAGAAGCTGCATCAACCACCAGTGAACAAAGAATGACAACAGCTGCTTCTTCAGTATCTACTAGTAAAGCTGTAACAAGTATATTGGGAGGTGAAAGGACAACATTGGCCCCACTCACTTTCAAGCCACCTACAAATGCGCCAAAACAGACAACCGTACAAGTACCAGTTCTTACGACAACACCTGTTATGCAAGTAACTACAACAGAAGCTGCATTAACCACCAGTGAACAAAGAGTGATAACAACTGCTTCTTCAGTATCTACTAGTAACGCTGTAACAAGTATATTGGGAGGTGAAAGGACAACATTGGCCCCACTCACTTTCAAGCCACCTACAAATGCGCCAAAACAGACAACCGTACAAGTACCAGTTGTTACGACAACACCTGTTATGCAAGTAACTACAACAGAAGCTGCATCAACCACCAGTGAACAAAGAGTGACAACAACTGCTTCTTCAGTATCTACTAGTAAAGCTGTAACAAGTATATTGGGAGGTGAAAGGACAACATTGGCCCCACTCACTTTCAAGCCACCTACAAATGCGCCAAAACAGACAACCGTACAAGTACCAATTGTAACAACAAAGCCTGCGCAAACCACCTCAAAACAAGTTGTGTCAACAACAGTAGCATCAATTACTACCACAGCAGCAGCGCCTGGTAATTTTTTTCTTTTTCCTATAAAAGTTATATTGTAATTGAGTTAAACATTCACTAAATTCATCAATATCATAACATCATATTAGATATTTATGCAAAAATCATTAATTTTGTCTTTGTTGAGCTAATACCCTTTAAACAATTAGTACTCTTCAATTGGTATCTTTCCTATTAACAAAATCCACAGGGACTTATGTTGGTGGGTTCTATTTGACCCTTGATTCCATTTATAACATATAGTCTTTGATATTGTAATTCTTTGTTTATTTTAACTGGAGACAATAAATTTTATCTTGTATCTTGTACCTTGTAACAGTATCAACGACAACCAGTGCCTTTTCTACTACTCAAGGAAGGGTATCAACAACAGGTATAGTGTCTACGAAACCACAGACAACTGGTCCACTCCCAGCTGTAACCAGTGTCATCCCACCTGCCATCACCACTGGATCTGCAAAGACTACAACTCATGTGTGCCGAGAGGTTCTACCCCTTGCTGATGATACCCCACCAGAGTTGTACTTTGATAGTGAAATGGTTGATGGTGCATATGGAGTTGATGATGATACTTTGACCATCAATCTGAGGTCTGAGATGACAGTTACAGGTATCAATGTTCTTGGTGGTGGACCAGGCTCTAATTTGTATGCCAAGTCAATAGCAGTGTATTATACTAACAAGGACATTCTTGTACCGCAGGTGCTACTTCAGAACAACGACCAGGTAAAATTTATGATAAGAGTAATATAGTAATGTTGACACTTAATTATTCCAGTCTCATTTTCAATAGTATTTTAAAGTAAGTTCTTAGAAACTGTACATCTAAAAAATATTGCATTTTGCTTTAGGTCATAGCTGCCAACACTGACAGTGTAACACCAAAGACTATCATATTTGACACTTCAGTTGAAGTTGCCAGTCTAATTATTCGTGTCATAAACATTGGACTGGAAAAGTCACGATTACGAGTTGAGGTTCTAGGTTGCTATGAAGGTAATGAATAAAATCTTTATTTTTCATATTTCCCAATTTTAGATAGATCTCTCCATTTCAGATAGAAATCTATGTTATATAGTCTACATTTTAGAAACATTTCTTGTTTTAGTAAACCTTAAAAACCATGGATTAAAGAATAGAAAACCTCTTATTAACTTTTCTGCTTTGTTTGCACTATCTAAATCATTATATTGTTATTATAAATATATCATTTTATGAGTGCAAATGCATTTTAAAAGAAGAATCAAAAGAAAAATAGAGGATGAAGTTCGTGTATAGGGTTGGAAGTGGTAGTTCTTTAATGTATGATAAAGCAAAAAAGAAATTGTTTATATTTTTTAAAGAAACAACTATAACACCTGTTGTAACTGAACACCTACCAACTACAGCATCGCCCATTGTAACAACTCGTGGGCCCCCTTCAGCTATCACTTCAGTTACCCCCAGACAAACAACAACAAGAGGAGGCATGACAACGAGGTTGCCTTTGACAAAGATAACAATTCTACCAAGGACAACACCTCAACAAAGTAACTGCATCATTTTTATCTTTTTAAAAATATTATTCAAAATGTATATGATGATACTTTAATATTAGGTGATAAATATTAAGAAATGTTTTGCTGCATAGTTCAGTGTGTATATAAATTAGGCTGATGTTCATTATATGTTTATTCCAATTGAATAAGCTGTGCTTGCTGTCAGTGGATTTTGTGAATACTTTCTGGATGAATCAATTTCTCAAAGTCATTGAGTTATTTTGAGTATTTTAAGAGTCCAATTTAAAGATGTTTTCCTTCCCTTTAGCTTATAGTGTGGTTATTTTGACTGGATTTTTTTCATTCATGTAAAGTCACTTTTTGTTTTTTTTAATTAGGAAAAATTTTTCTATCTCAAAAGATTTTGAATATTTATTTAGGTACTCTTTTAACACTACTATTTTTGTTTATTTGATTTAGGCACCACCCCTCTGTTGTCAACAGTTGTCATTCCACAAACAACTGCTCTACGAACAACTACATTAGAAGGAGTCATCACAACAGTTGTTGGCCAAGCTACAACCACTGCTAGCTCGGCTAAAACTACTGCTGCCCGGGTTCCAACCACTGCTGGCCAGGCTACAACTTCTGGCAAGGCTGCAACCACTACTGGCCAAGCTACAACTACTGCTGCTCGGGCTCCAACCACTGCTGCCCAGGGTACAACAACTGCCAGCTGGATTACAACTGCTGCTGTTCGGGCTGCAACCACTGCTGTTCGGGCAACAACCACTGCTCATTTGACAACTGAGCAGTTGATTACAACAACAGCACCATTTTTACAAACATCTCAAATTCCAGGTGATAATACATATAATTTGAAATCATTATGCAAATCAAATCCTCATAAGTACAACCAGTAATAGTAAAAATGCCAAAAAACTGGTAATACAATTTGTAAAATATTATCAAGGTCACTATTTTTATAAACATCTCAAATTCCAGGTGCTAATACTAATTATTCAAAGCATTTTTTTTAAATTCAAGCAACCAATAATAGTAATGAAAAAATATTAATAATAATAATAATTATTAATAATAATAATAATAATAATCCATTGATTTATTGAGTGATTGATTGATAATAATAATAATAATAATAATAATAATAATAATAATAATAATAATAATAATAATAAATGAGACTAATACAATAGATTACTATATTTCAACATACCTGTAGATATGTATCTCACTCGTAGACATCATCTTTAATTTGTTTAAGTCTCATCATTTTCATACAACATTTTTCTGGTACTTATATAGCAGTCCTTAAAAAACAATTTAAACTCATTCAGGTATGGTATCAATTTTATTACATTACCACCAAATTTATTACCACCATTTCTTTTCGTTTCTTAGTTGGCTGTAACATTAGCATGGAAACATATGAAGTATCCAGAATGCCTTCAGATGGCCAGTCAGGAGACATCACCGATATTGATCATCCTACACCTTGGTATCCAAATCTCGCCCAAGGAACGGAACCATCCCTGGAGATTTCTCTATCGCAGCCAGTCCGACTTGAATCTGTTGTCGTACAAGGCGATGGTCCAAATATACCAACGCAACTTACCATTGAGTACAAACCAGTTGGTTTGGATTACATAGAAGTACCTAAGGTTTGTTTAACAACCATATCAATAATAGCTTTTGATACTTTTAAGAAATTTGTGATCTTGAGACTTTATTTAATGAAATTATCCTTCCCATGCCCACATAAACAAGAGCACAGTACCTTCAGAATAATGTACAATAGGGACATGTATGCCACATGTTATCAGTAAGTCCTTAAGGTTTTCTCTTTTTCCCTGCTAGGTATATACAATTCAGCCATCACCTTCTGGTGACAACTCGGAACTATTGGAACTTGCCATCCCTCAAGATGTGCCACCATCAGAAGCTGTGAAGATCACTATTCTTAAATGGTCAAATGGAACTCTGCCATCCTTGAGAGCCAGGGTCTTAGCTTGTGTTGGTCAGTACAAATAAAAATCAGTTTTATGCTTATTCTGTTTACTTTGCATATGATTTGACTCAGCTCATAATTTGAGTATTTCCTTTGCTAATTCAGTCAGATTCATATTGGTTAGTAAGGTTTTTTAAAAGCCTTTAAATCAATGTTGAATTTTCAGTAATGCCATTTATCTGTTCAAAGCATTGCAGGTGAAAATTGATTTTTTTTTCTTTTCCTAAGAAAAAACATATTCTTATATTGCTCTTTTCCAACAATACAGAATGCTATGATGTTCTGGACACGCCTGCAAGTATGGCATTTGATAGCCCAGCAAATGATGATGGCAGCTTTGGCTATCTTCCTGGAGATGCTGGACTGGTACAAATTGAACTGGACAGTGAGAAGGAAGTCAGTGGTCTTGCTATCATTGGTGGAGGCTCAGGAACCGATGCCTATGTTGAAAGCTTTACAATTATGTACTTTAACAGTGAATCAGAGGAACCACAGATTATAAGTCAGGTAAGAGTATTCAATTAAATTACATATTAATAATTATATTAAACCATATTTTTATTTTTATATGTAATTGTATATGTACATGTAAACAATGTTATAGGACTGCTTTGGCACCAAATACAGGTAACCAAACACAAAAATAGGTATATAATTGCTGTAAATATTTTTAAAACAAACTAAATTTTTCGGCTTCGTCCTTTAGGTGTATGTGTTCTATATGAATAATGTATATAAATGTATATAAATATGTGGTGTTTTTTTTCTAGGTTTACGAGGGTAATTCAAATGATGATACACCAATTGCTGTGTACTTTGATAACAAGTTGATGATGACATCTATCATATTGACTGTACAGAGTAGCAAAGATGTTGTGGTGCGAGTACAAATATATGGATGCGAAATGACAGGTAAAATTTTCTCCTAGTGCAAATCCAGTCATCTGGTTACTTGCTGCAGTATTTATTATTAACCTTTCTGTTCTTATAACATAAATATCTCAGAATAGATAATTAAATTTCACTCTTTGGTGTCGTGCAACAGTGTAGATAAAGTGTTTGCACAAGGATACAAAGATTACAAGTATTGTACTAAGTTTAGCAATTACAATATTAATGCAAAAGACAACAATAATACATAACAACATTGATTCACAACATTATCATAAGTTAATTAATAAGAATTAATTTATATGAATATGATTATTTAATTGTGAATGTACTAAACACCATATGCATACAAATTGCAAAAGCAGCCAGTGGAGCCGCAGTAGCCTTCAACAGTAAAGTTTGCTACTAATCGGAGGAAAAGGAGAAGAAGTAACGTATAAACATATAAATATTACTATTTGCCAACTTCAAGCACAATATACTATATCATGATGATAAAAGATAATGTTTACTGATATTTTAGAAACGACAACAATGATGGCAACAACACCAATAATTGCAACAAGTTTACCACAAGTCACTGGTCTTCCTAAAGGTAGGTTGAAGCACTCATGTATGTAAATTGACTGACCAATCAAAACTGATATCTTGTTTCATAATAAAAACCTAGACCAATAGTTTCCAATTCTGTATAAAGGGAGAGAGAACATACCTTTAACATTTTATTATTAATGCCAGATATTGAATGTATATTGATTAATTATACTATATTTATTACACTTTAACTGGTTAATCAGATACAGGTTGAACCCCATCCTTTGAGACACCCTTATTAAGGTGACACTTTTTCGACCACAACAAGTGTATCTTTTAACACTACAGCTAACCCCATTTCAGGGGCCACCCCTATTAATGGGCACTTTTATTGGTCCTGAAGGTATCCCCTTAATAATTGGGGTTCTACTGTATTAACCTGAGGTATATATATTATACAATTTTAATTTTTTTTTTCCAGTTTGTAATGAAATTCTCCCCATGGCTGGTGATGTACCATCAAGTCTATATTTTGACAGTGAACCAGATCAAAATGGCATTTATGGTTATAACCCTGAGGATGCTGTGATTACCGTCAACCTTAACAAGACCTTTAGAATTACTGGCTTCAATATCATGGGTGGTGGAAAAGGATCGAATGCTTATGTTGATGATATGCTAGTGTATTATTTACCAGAGGATTCGGACACACCAGTTAGCATAAGTGACAAGGTACGCTAATAGAGAAAAGACGAGTTGTACCTAAAGCCAGGGCCTCTCACTGAGCCGTACGACCGTTGGCCGATGAATCAAACTCCGCTCCCTGCGAGCGGCAGACGTAAAGCCGTCTGCTGATTGCCGGTAGCAGTGTGAATGAATCGTCAATAAAATGGATCCTTTATGCGCATGTCGTTGCATTTCATTATCCATAGAATTGCATCGGCAGACGACTGTCAGATGCAGTGAATGCCTGGCTTAAGATTCTGAATCTAAATTTGGCCTTTTGCCAACTTATATAAAATAATGATAATGAGTAGTTGATTAATACTAAGTAACTGATTTATTGATCGATTGATTGATTCATTTTGTTTTTTTTTCTTCTTGCAGGTGATATCTGTGAGTGATAATGATGATTCCTTGGTAACCATCGACTTCAGTAACTCTTCAGACATCTTGAGTGATTCGTTCACCACGTCTCAGCTATCATTCCGAATCTTTAATACTGACATCGAAGTACGACTTAGATTACAGATTTTGGGATGTTCTGTTGAAGGTACAGTATGACCTTTAATTTAGATCCTAGTGGAAACAGCTGTTATTATTTTTAGACAATGGGAAATTCTAACATTGCTTACTGATGTTTTTGCAATATTTTGAGTTCGTTATTTGAATATTTTAATTGGTTATTATTATACACAATTATACAAATTAAGAATGATAATCCGGACATTTCTATTGTCAATAAAAATTTCAGCCAAACTGAAATTGTATTGATCAATTTTCTGTGTCTCTTCTGTTTATAATTACCTGGATAAACTGATAAATGCCAATTTTCCATACCAAATAATAGACATTTCCCATTTTTTTCTTAAACATTTTCCTTCTGTTTTTGACCCTACAGAAGTGTGTCAGGATGACTTGCAGTTCATTGAAAGTGGACGTGTGTTATCAGATGGTCAGAATGCCAGCTTGTCCAGCCTAAGCAATGCAGAGCCTTGGTACTCAACTGAAGACAGTTCCTCTCAGTACATCATTGTCAATTTCTTGATACCAGTTCACATCACATCATTCTACACACAAGGTAACAAGGATGACGTTGTGACACTCATGACACTGGACTACATGCCACTTGGTGAGAGTGGATACATCGGTTTCAATAAGGTAAATTAATTTCAGTGTCATTATTGATAAAAAGTAGCACATGTTACAAAATATTGGCTTTGAGGCTTATTACTCCCTGAATTATGTTTAACACAAACAATTTTTCTCAATTGTTTTTTCACTTTTTCAGGACTTTAATGTAGTACCATCAGAAGATAATTCCATAATCGCCGAGCATCATTTGGATGTGGAACTTCCACTACTTTCATCCATTCGAATCAACATCCTCGACTGGACAAATAAAAACTCCAGCGGACCAACACTACGTGTAGCATTTTTAGGATGTGTAGAGGCTGGTAAGTTTCTTTTATTTGTATTATTTCGTTCCGATGCGCAACAGCTTTTATGAACTTGCATTCATTGAATACATTTCAGATGAGATAATGATGTCAGAGTTGATGGTATTAATGATGATGATGGAAATGGTGTGCTGATGAAGACATATGATGGTGATGATAATGAGCACTATTCAAAAAACTGTTAAGCACAAAGGGTTGATGGATAAATGAACCTTGAGAAAAGTAATAGTACAATTTATATGTAGTGGATTGTATCTCATCATTTTTCTAAATATTGTCTTTTTTTCGTCTTCAGTAACAACTACCATAATCCCAGGATTCAATGCAACCACCATTGAAGGTAAAAATAAGATCCACTGTTGATTTCTAGTATTCTTTAAGAAGAGATTAATGTAGCATATGTATGATCCTGTGAGTCATGGCAACTTATATGTTTTACATGACAAATTGAATCTGTATCTAAAGTTGAAGTTGGTCCAATAATAATAATAATAATAAAGTTTTTAACCGTTCTGAATCAACAGAACAAGTGGCTGTCATTGACTACCACAGTAGTTGACAAGCTTCAACAGTGCAAAACAAAAGAAGGACCCTAGAGGGAAAAAATATGTTAGCTGACCCTATATTTCACTTTCACGTTCCTTGTTTTTGTTTTCTATTTTAGTATTAGCTAACCGTCTAATTACTTACTTATCTTCTCTTTTACTTTCATTCTATGCTTCCTTAACTTTCCGTGATTCCTATTTACCCACCTTTTCTTTCTTTCGTCTCCCTTTTCCTTTTAATTACCTTTTCTTTCCTTTCCCCTTTCTTTCTAATTCCTCCTTATGCATTGGTTCTTTAGCTTAAATTACCTTTGTAATATTTCCTTATCTTTCTTCTTTTTCTGCAGCAACATCTTTTAAGGCATGTCTCAGTAACATATTGTTTAAAAACTCTATTTAAAAGATATTTAATTTCAGATAAGAAAATATACAATATGATGCCACATGTTATCAAAAGTAGTAATTTTTAGATTGATTGATGGATGGTTGGATGCAGTCATTCATTGTTTTGAAAGTGACTTTCTTTTGAACTGTACTTGTTTCCAAAATGATTTTTTTTATTATGATAAACAGAAGGTAAATTAATCTTCTTCCTTACGCAGAATGCAATTATGTTGTTGACTTCTCTGAGAACGTCCCTGCTAACTTGTACTTCGATAGTCAGCCTAATGAAGACAACTCATACGGATGGAGTGGAGCAGATAGTCTTGATATTGAGCTGGACGAGTTGGTGTCTGTAAACGCCCTCAACATTCTAGGAGGTGGAAGTGGTACAGGTCAATACGTTGAAGAGTTTTTGGTTTATTATTACCCTGTGGGAGTTGACAGTCCTTCCCCAGTGCCTGAGGTAAATTTGAAGATTTCTTAATGTTCATAACTTAGATATTATATCTAAAGTGCATGGATGCTTTAGCATTTTACTTTGGTATTTGTTTTGTAAGAATTTGTAGTGAAAATGTTATTTGATGAGTATGATTCAATAAAGAGTTATGGAATAAACTTTAATTAAGAAGTATAAAGTAAAGATAATCTCTCTGCCATTATATTTCACCTTTAGGAAATTTAATTTTTAAGCACTCACTTTAAGATCTATAGGCTAACATAAATCTAGAGCCAGTGACATAGATGGGAGACGTTAAACCATATTCATAAATATTGATGATACATTTTGGTTGTTTTTTAAAGCGATTTTCTGGAAATGATGATGATTCAACTCCAAAATTGATTGAGCTACCAGAACCAATTGTCACATCACGACTTGTACTACGCTTCTTCAACCTTGGCCGAGACATCCGTCTTAGACTTCAGGTTCTTGGATGTGCCGCTCAAGGTAAGAATGCTCTTTCCAACTATGTATTATTTATAAATGTTTACAGGTGGGTTTAATATGATTATGACGTATAGAGATATTACAGTTTGTTTTTGAAGAACTTACCTCAAGCATAATGTAATTGCCTATCGAAATCCACTGTATTTAATTACATAGACATCATATTTAATACATAGTATATCAAATATGATGTCTTTACAGTGTAACCAATGTCTAATTACTTCAATCTCAAATCACATCATGCAAAGTTTTTATTTTGTGTAAAGTGGTTTGGCGCATTGGGAATGGTTTGGATTCCCAACCTCGAGGTCGGGGTTTCAATCCCCTCGCTGTGCATTTCACTTGTGTCCCTGGGCAAGGCACTTTATCTGCATTGCTTCTCTCGAGCCACCCAGGAGTATAAATAGATACCTGGTAGGGTTAAATGCCAAAATGCGCTGATGTAGCTGCTGCATCTTTATGGAATACTCCCCCAGGGAGCTTGAGTTTGTGTTCCATAGGCGTTTAATCCAATGACCGGGGGTAGTAATGTGAAGCGCTTTAGGACTTGTTGGTATTAAGCGCTATATAAATCTAACATATTAAAGCACAAACACATTAATTGAGTCTGGATAGGGCTTAATTTAGTTTACTTTACGAATAACTGTTATATAAATGTCATTATGTAGTGTCAACAGTACTACCAACAACAACAGCACTTCCATCAACTGCCAGGCAATCAACGACTTTCATAACACAGGCCATGCTTAAGAGTACTAAGCAGATGCTACTCACTACAGGACACAGGATTGGCAAACTTACAACTGTTATACCTCCTGGTACGTTTTTTTTATAACTCATGAATTTTTTTTTTTGCCAAAGGCAGGGTTTTCTTTATTAAAATGATACCATTAATGTACATTTTTATATAGTTTATACAGAACAAATGATATTGATACCTAATCATATTATTATCAAGAGTACATATTTTCTTCCAAATTTTTACAAAAGTTTGTAGCGAGATCCTTGAAACTGGACCAGAAACTCCAGAGTTTGTCTCTTTCACAAGTCCTGCTGATGATCTTGGCATCTATGGCTGGGCACCAAGCGATAATGAGACATCCCTCACGATTACATTGGCAGAGCCTAAACAGGTCACAGGCATCAATATACGCGGTGGAGGCCTCGGTACAGATCTGTATGCTAAACGTATTCGTATTTACTACAAGACACCAGGATCTGATGAAAGAATTATGGTCACAGAACCAGAAGGTCAAGTTGTAAGTACCGTGGCTGTAACACCACCCGATGTGACGTACTAAGTAGAGTTTTGATCTGGTAGATAGCTTGGGTTGTTAGCAAACTATGCACTTCTTTTAAGAACTTGACATTGTATAAGTATTGTCTTACCTTTTCCTATCCTTAATTTTAAGTTTATTAAAAATATTCAAATGCTATAAATGCATTTAAAATATAGAAATTATTTACAATTTTTTTTTGACAAATTTTACACAAGTAACACAAAATTGGAGACTAGAAAATCATATTTTATTTAACTTCCCCATAGGGATACGAAGCAAATACAGATGATGTCACCCCCAAGACGATTCCATTTGAGGAGGCAATCTATGCTAATGAGATCATTATTGCATTCCTGCAAAGTGATCTTGAGAATATACGAGTCAGGATTGAAGTTATTGGCTGTGAATATGAAGGTATAAATCAGAAAAATATATATTATATATTTATTTATAGGATGCTCTCTGTACTTGTACTCATTGAGCCGTCTTTAGAACAGTCACTGACTGATGATAGTATGGTGCACCATTAATAATTACTGCAGATATTGCAGTACAGAATAATATGAAAGTGGCATGCCTCCCAACTATCATGACATTTGTTGCCAGTGCAACAAAATGGGCATATCTATCCTTTTCCACCTTTTCCCCCAGATAAATGTTTAAAAATCGGTATTCTCATTAATAGTTCTCGAGTTTATCGTCAAATATGCTTTTTGTGTCTTAGAAAAATAAGTTGTACAACATACCAACAATTTATCACATACATATGTGTTTAAAGTCAGGCTTTTATGTGATAAATATAGAATTGATTTACATGTGATAAAAATATAATTGATTTACCAGTGATAAATATGGAATTGCTATAGGAAGATAACAATTAATAATAAGTGATAGTGGTATAAGCACTTACCGAATACCTAAATGAACTTTCTTCAGGCACAACTGTAGTAACACTACCACAGGTATTCACTACTCTTCGACCAATCAACTACACAACAACAGTACTCCCCGGGTGGTCACCATGGTCGCCATGGTCATCATGTACATCGAGCTGTGGTGTTGGAGAGCGTTACCGAAGTAGATCATGCATGATTGGTGAATGCGAGGGCGGTATTGATGCAGCTACGGAGGAGGAAGACTGTGATTCAGGACCATGTCCAGGTAAATATATTTTGTATTGAGGGAGTGTTGAAAACATACTAATATTAATTTTATTTAAGACTTTTAATTGTACCACTTGGAAATATCTGTTCAAAGAAATGAAAGTGCTTGCAGTATCCACCTTTTCAACATGAACATTTCGTTGGTATGGCACTCTTACAGTTACTGTCATAATTACTATTTGAGTCGGCATTAATCCTGCTATGCTTTTCGAAAATTACAACATTTAAATTTCTCCATTACTTGATTAGTTGTGGCGATGGGTCCTTGATAGAAATTTTTCTCTTATCCCAGATAAGTGTGATGAGAATCTCAGTGAAGTTGATGGCCTGATTGTCACACGTGAAACATCCGATGATGCACCAGCATCCCAGACACGCTTGTACTCAACACAGCCTTGGATGCCGAATGTTGCCGATGGAGGTTTGCCAACAATTACAGCATGGTTTAGTACACCGGTTACACTGAAGACTCTAAGGATGCAGGGTAACGGAGCAAACACAGTTACCGAACTGTCATTGGAATACATACCGAAGAGTCAAGATCAGTTCATCTTTTTCGAAGAGGTTGGCAAAAAATTTAGCCAATTTAATTATAATTAATATGTTCAATAAATGTTTTTTTCAGTTTTTAATATGAACATCTTATATCTAAATTTCATTATTTGCTTAACAACTTCTTTTTACAGTATTGTATTTTATTACTAATTAATATTTTGTATTACTAATTTCCAAATTAATGTAGCAGTTTTTTCATACTTGTAATTCTTTTTTATTTTCAATACTTGCAAGTTTATATACTTTTAACATATAGAATAGCCAAATTTACATTCCTTTGTACTCTTCTTTTAGGAATTAAGATTACCTGTTGAAAATAATGAAGAACCTAGATCATTCCCGATGCCATCATCTTTGGGTGAAATTAAAGCAGTCAGGCTTGCTGTTATCTCATGGCCTGAGGATACAGTTCCATCTTTGAGGGTTGATTACTTTGGTTGTTTCCATGGTAAATTAACCATTCCTATTTGATAATAATGGTTATCTTCATCATTATTATTATTATTATTAATAGAGATAATATTGATAACTGATAATTATTGTTTTTTTAAATTGTTTACAGTCAGTGTTGAATACAGTAAACTTTTTAAAAATTGATTGTAAAAATTGATTTTTATTACTACCTGATGAGAGGATCTTATTTTAATGAAATTGTCTGCCAGATACTGTAGTCTGCATAGTACTGTGTACCTGACAACAGATTGTGCCTCATAAACACATATTCTTTATATTGATTATGCTGCAAATGATATTTTACAGTTTGCGAAATTGGTGACCCAGCTTGCTCAGTTGACTGTTCTTACGGCGAATGGTCACCATGGTCTGATTGCAGCAAATCATGCGGAGTGGGTCAGCATGAAAGAAAACGCTCTTACAACCCTCCAGAGAATGGTGGACAAGAATGCGAGTACCCAATTACAACCGTTGAGACAGAAACCTGCAACACAGACGCATGTCCAAGTAAGTTTCCTGTCATATGATGATTTTCAACCAATGAAATTTCAAATTCTTACCATATTTTTCATCAACTTGTTTACCTGAACAATAACCGCATAATGATACTGTAAAAATATATTAATAACTTAAGTATAATAATATTATGATGTATCTTTCAGCTAAGGGTGAATGGACACCGTGGAACCCATGGTCAAATTGCACAGCAGAATGTGAAGGTGGCGAGATGAAACGTACACGTACATGCTCCAACCCACCACCAAAGAATGGAGGAGAATTCTGCAATGGATCCAGTGAAGAGACAAAGACTTGCAATGTAGAACCATGTGGTAAGTGCCAATTACTACTATATAATTCTTAAAAGCTCAACTCAATTGTCTAAGCTTCAATATGTTATATTTTTTCATGGGCCTTACCTTATAAGCTAATGGAATCATCCAATTGCAATATATATGCATAATAATCATTTTGTTTTCAAAACTGTTTTTGAGTTGTTCCAACTTGAATTTTGCAGAGGAGGAATGCCAGGCGCCAATGATCTATGACCCAATATGTGCCAACCACTGTCCAAGTCGCTGCGACCAGCTGAAGCAAGGCTCGGTATGCAGTGATGAGGAGGATTGTGAGCCAGGGTGCCGATGCCCAGATAACATGTTAGAAGATTACAACGGGGACTGTGTTTATCAGAGTCAGTGCGAGTGCTTAGACAAGGACGGAAATCTATGGCCCATTGGGGCAACAGAACAAGTTGACTGTAACAACTGGTATGTAAAATTCTTAAAATTTTGTATGAAAATTAATCATTGCTATTAGGTTATTAAAAACAGAAACATGTCGACAGTACATGTTTCTATTTTGTTCTTCTGCTTCTCATTTCCTACTACTCTGTTTCTTTTGTACTACTTTTAATTCACAGTTGCTGATATAAAATGGGACATTGATTTTCTGTGGTAAAACATAGCAATTTACATCATTTTACTCACAATCAATTGTATGGCTAACAAGCAATTTATTTCTTATGATTTAGCACATGTATGAATGGTCGCATTGAATGTACTGAAGAACTGTGCGCTGTGGACTGTGAGTGGAGCCCTTGGTCAGTGTGGTCAGAATGTACCAACACATGTGGAGAGGAAACGCAGAAAAGATTCAGGTAAACTATGACTGCAATATAGAGTTCGCCCTCCAATTCGAGACCACCTTTGCGGCCTGGAAATCTGTAGTGGTTTCGGGTTTGGTCTTCAATTAGAAAGTTAGATTAATGTTAAAAGATTGAAGACTTTTATTTGGTTCTTTGAAAAAGTGGTCTTAAATTAAATTGGTCTTGAATTGGCAAGTCCACTGTAGTTTCACTCTGTACTTCTATTCTCTGCTTGCTGTTGAATGTGAAATTTCTCATACTTTTTTTTTAATACATTTATCTGATAAAATGTAATAAATTATTTTGAACAATAGGAAATATTTTACTATTCCGAGTTGATGTTTCATATCACAGGTCAGGCAATAATCCAGCAGCAGCCAATGGTGGTAAAGAATGTGAAGGAAATAACGAAGAAAGCAGGTCATGTGACTTACCAGACTGCCCTGTATATTGCATACACGAAGGCGTGATTTATGAAGAAGACCAAGTTGTTGAAACAAAATGTTCTGAATGGTAATGATTATTTCATGTAATTCTTGTTAGTTGTTACACAGATTGTTCAGGTTGTGAAACATTTTCTTGGGCTTGTTGAAAGTGGCCCTATAACAAATACGGTCATGGGTGTTTTTTTTAAAATGTAAAATGGGAGCATGAGGTTAAACTTTGGGAATGTAAGTTAGGGGATGAGGTTGCAGAATGGAGTCATTGAATTGTAAATTTAGGTTGTAGTATTGTAAAATTGATTCACATGGTTGTAAAATAGGACGACAAGGATGTAAGATGTGGGTATGAGGCTGTGAAATTCTGGTTTGTTTTATAAAAACTAATAAAATGTTTATTTGTCAACAGTGTTTGCAGAAATGGCAACATGGAATGCACAAGGACATGCACTTGTAAGTCAATACATAAATTTTGCAACCAGATTTATTATGAATTATTGTTATGTATATTGACTCGATGCAAATACAAATCAGTATTATATTTAGTATTGGTACTAAATTAATTTTGAATATATTAACTATAGACATCAGAACAATATATTAAATTTTTCTCAATATTATTATTGAAAACTGCATCATCATACAAACCAAATTAATTCTGGATTAATAATTAACATTTTTCAGATGTTCCACCTGAGTGGTCTCGTTGGTCTTCCTGTAGTGTTACCTGTGGCGACGGAAATATTATTCGCACACGTGGATGTAATGAAACCGAGAGCGGAATTATCTGCATCAATGGAACGGCAACAGAAACCAGCAACTGTAGTATGCCAGACTGTCCTGGTAAGTTGATAGTGTTTTTAAAATCTAAAAGCATTGAATCGCTCATTTAAAATGATCAAATAAAATTAACTTGAAAAACCAAATAAGTTTCACTGATAACTGTACTTAAAGTGGCTGAGCGGTAAGGCAGGGGCGCCGCTGACTACAGCCTAACATCAGTACTGGTTCCAGCCGCTTCTCGCCCAGGGTTCAGTTGGTAGAACCAAGTCTTCTTGGATAAGCACTTAAAATAGAGGTCCTGTGTATACATCTGGCTTGTGCGCACTTTAAAGAACCCATTGCATCTTTCGGGGCAGTAGGGGTTTACCCCGATGTTATGGTTCATTCTAGCCCCTGTCGTTGTGGAATGATGTGAACATGTAGCTACTATAAGCGCTCTTTATGGCTGCTAGGTAGTCACGGACCACGCCCATGCGCAATTCAACCCAATGACGCTGTGAGTTATGAGTTCTTCTCCTATTTTTACCTTTCCTTTACCTCTGCCTATATCTTTGTGCCATTGCACAGCCATTTAATATTCTTTTTGTTATTTTGTAAACAGTGAAGGGTGAGTGGTGTGAGTGGGCCCCATGGTCCAACTGCTCTCAGGATTGCGGTACCGGCGAACGTGAACACCGTCGTGTATGTGCTTGCCCTGAACCTGAAAATGGCGGAGACGAATGTGAAGGCGATGATCTGGAATCTGAATCGTGTTTCATGGGCAGCTGTCCAGGTATGGATGAAATCGACTTGTTACTACTGTTTCCATGTTTTATTATTTGTTTATTAATTCATTGTTGACCATCTTTACAGAGGGTATTTATTATATAGGTTTATTTTTATGTAAAAATCTAGGTTGATGAGGGACACAGATTGTTGTTGAAGTGATTTAGTTCACTTTTGTATCCCTGTCAATCAGCTCAGTTATTCTTGTTTTTCATTCTCTGTATAATTGTTATGTTTTTGTTTGGCAATAGAAGAATAAGAATTAGAATGTATTTCTACCTGTTTTATGTATATTAAAGGCCTGTTAATTTCAGTACTTTGAACTTGCTTGCTTATAAAATTAAAACTAACTAGATTTGAACTTGTCACTGAGGACGAATTAGGTGATCCGCCGCACTTTGACCCTTGAGGAAGTGAGCGCGGTGGCGATTGAACCATTTTTAAATGCTGAAAATGGCTTAAAGTATAATTTTAAGGATTAAGGATAAGCGATATACGCTCAAATGCGTATTTTCAAAAATGACGTCATAGATAAAATTCAGTTTTTTAAAATTCAGATGGCAATATGATGACGTCACAGTGTCCGATCAGCCATTATGATCTGTGATATCATATTTACAACTCATGTGCTTTCAGAATATGTAATAAAAATTGGGGGTCACCTTTCATCCTAAGGTGCTATAACTGATTAAAAAAAGGCCTAATTTTAGCATATTTTCACTGTATATCAGCACAAACGCACACAAAGATCCCTATGTTTGATGCGCGTATGGCATTGCTATTGGCCATTAGATTACTGAAAAGAAAAATGCGCGCGCGTAGTGGAAAATTTAAAAAAAAAATGAAATGCTCAAAGTGGCCTGAAGCATGCTCTAATTTAGTCAAAAAGTGATTTTGAGCATTTTAAAATTTTGACGCCCGAGTGCGCGTTATAACTCGCACGCACGCCAAAAAATATTTTGGTCCGTGATATTCAACCTTGACCTGAAGTTTATGCCCACTAAATATCATTGAGAAATGACAATTGTTTAGGATGATATGATCGATAATGCAAAACACGCAAAATTGCACGTAGATGACAGTTGTTTTTAATCAAATCGAATATCCATGAGTCCACAGAATAAAGTCTTGAAATCATGAATGTTGTGTATTTTATTAGAGGATTGTGTGTGGACGGAGTGGCAAGCTTGGTCCGAGTGTACCCAGTAGGCAATCCATATTTTTCTAGTTCAGTATATCTGTAAGTAAGTCTAACATATCTAATTCTACAAATTAAAGTAAAATAAAAACCGAGAATCCAAAAATTGTTGGACCTTATTTAAGTTAGAAATTAAAAGCTTAATTACAAATGAATACACATGGAATTTTAATGAAGCCGAAAAGAAATGAGCCAACGGAAAAGAAAAACTCTGATTTTATACAATGAGTAGGAAATAGAATTTTTAATACGGTAATTAATGCATCTAAATACAAGTAGGGTCCTATATAAGTATATAAAAAAGGGTTTTATTTATATGAGTTTTAGAATTTTTAAATCAGATTTTAGATACAAGCTTGTGTTTACTGTTTTATTAAATGGTTTTATTTGTATTTACTTTTTTATATTTTTGTTACCAAATGATCGATGACACAATAAACCACTAATAAAATTCAAAAATATGACGATACTTTTGAGAACGATCATTTCAGGCAATGCCAGAAAACTTTATTAGACCTAGCCATTGCTAGGCCTTACGCTACATATATGTTTCGACAGATCCTACTGTCATCATCAGTGTACAGAGATTCCATATAGGCAATATATACTCTTACTACTGTACATAAACCATGAGAGACAGCTTTTGCATGTTTATCTCTACCCATGGATACAACATTATTTAACTAAGCAATGTAGACTGTATTTTTTGTACATATTGCACAGGAAGATAACTTGTTGCCTATTTGTCTTTACTAAAAGAGAGAATATGCTCAATGAGCAACATCTTGCTCTCGTAACAACGCATTTAATAAATTGTTTATTTTCTCACTAGTGAATGCGAGTCTGGAAATCTAAACTGTACAGAATTAGATTGCAAAGGTAAGTTTAATTATTCTTCCAAATTTTTGTTTAAATAGAGTATCACACTGTTCTGCAATGTATGAATATAATATAACAATTGTACACAATTTATTTATATATTTTTTTTAAATATTTGAATTTCTCTTTTCCTTGAATAGTGCCCGGTGGATGGAGCAGCTGGGAGCCATGGAGCGATTGTAGTGTCTCCTGTGGGGATGAACCTGGTACAGTAGTCCGCTACCGATCCTGTACCAACCCGCCTCCAAATCCGCCAGTTGAAGACGGTGGTATTGATTGCGAAGGTGTTCCAATTGATACCGCTTCATGTCCAGATCGAGATCCATGTCCAAGTAAGTCATTGATTACAAAAGGTTTTCAATTTCTTGATGAGTATGTCTATTATATTTTGATATGTGTTTGCGTCAGAAAAATATCATAGGAGTGATGTTTTGCCCTACTGGACTTATTATTGTACCGAGTATGTTCCCAAATACTTGCGAAACAGCAATTGCAGTACTCGCTTCTACTTGAGATCGAATTCAACACTAGTCACTAAGTGCAAGGTCGGTAGTCTAGTGGTTATGACACCAGGCTAATTATTTCAAGGTCGTGAATTTCATTCCCACCTGAATGACTTGGAATTTTTTTGGTATTTGGGAAAGTACTTAGTATTCGGTTGGATAACATGTCAGGTAGAGCAAAACATCACTCCGCAGTCGTTTTTTTATTTTTTAACAGAAAAAAATATACAAATATTACATGTCACAAAGTTTCATAACAGCATATACGGAACACGAATCATACCCTTATTGGATACTTATTTAACAGTTAGGCCTATATGAAATTGGTGCCCCCTCGTTTAAAAAAATCTGGATCTGCTCCTGAAAACATCCTAAAATATAATTGAAAAGTCATACCTAATGTACGAGAGAATTGTTTGTTTTTATTTTGAATCCATAAACATTGACACAATACAAAAAGTAAAAGGATTCGGGACAACCCAGTTAATCATAATAAAAGGATTAGTTTCCATTGGGATCCCAGTAAAATATTGATAAACAACCAAGAACAGAAAGAAAAAAATGACAAAATATTTGGCAGTCCCTACTGTCGAAATTGTTGAGGAATTGACAAATTAAAAATAACAAATTTTAGATAACCAATCATAAATTCTCATATCATATTCTTGATATTGATTGAATATTCTTGTTATTATAATTTACATTTAAAAATTGTTTTGATTTCTCAAAATATCGACATAGCAATATAGACAACATAATATATATTTGATGTTTTTAACAGTTGACTGCATATTTGGCGATTGGGGTGTGTGGTCTCCTTGTAGTTCACCATGTAATGGTGGCTATCAGACACGAAGTCGAGATATTATCCAGTTTAATCAATATGGTGGCTTACCATGCGAAGGTCCAATTGTGCTTGTTCAACCATGCAATTATCAAGAGTGCCCAGGTAATCTTTTGCTTTCAGACATTTTGAATTAAGAGAATTAAAGATAAACTTGTAGCTAGTAGGCACACATTAACATTTGAATTATAATATTCTTCAACTTGTAAATAACTTACTGATTATAATTAATATCTTGGTAATATAGTAATACAGTATAACAGGTGGATTATGCATGCTGAGAAAGACATTAATATTCACAATGATATGAATTTTTAATGTTAATTATTGTCTTCTTTCATTAATGGCTGTGTAGACAGTAACAAGGAATCAACATCATTTATGTTGTGGTGTTTTATTGAAATCTGGAGGCTATTATCTATGTCTTATGTGGAACTTACAAGATCCATATATGTTCTATGATAACATGTTAAATCCTGATTGGTAACAGGCTGCTTTTATGTCTTCCAGGCAGCTAGTTTCCACTATTTTTTTCTTTTCTCAATGCGTTTGCATTGTACAGTATATATATTAACATCATTTACATGAATAAGGAATAATATTATAGACAGGAAAGATTACTTAAAATTTATTTTTGATTTGCAGGTAAAGAATGCTCAGATATTGGCATGGTGTTTGATGAGTGTGCTAATCAGTGTGCTACTACATGCCTAGAAATGGCGCCAGATGTTGACTGCGTTGACATGGAAGACTGCATCCCTGGATGTCGCTGTGCTGATGGCGAGTATTTGCAGGATGGTGTCTGTGTACCGCAAGAAGAGTGTCACTGCACAGCTGATATGGCAGTTCTTCAGAGGTTACTGGATGAAAATGAAATCTCACCGGTAGTCGAACCAACTCCAGCGCCAGTGGATTATTTCATCTTAAATTTCCCAGGTAAACGTGGCATTTGCTCTCAGGGCAACAAGTACGATGATGTGCTGCAACACACCTTTAACATTAATATTAAAATTCATAATAATAATGGTGGACTTGTATATTCTTGGGTTTGACAAAAACAGAAATATAATAAATGTATTATTATTTAAAAAGATATATACAAAAAGACTTGTATATTCTTGGGTTTGACAAAAACAGAAATATAATAAATTTATTGCTATGCTATTCCTTAAACTGTAAATGATTGGCTGTTACGTCCATGGAGCTTGCCTGACTCCGTTTACAACTATAGTGACCATCCACACTATCACCTAGCCATTCCTTCGACTTTTAAGTGGGGCATACACTCACAGTTGTTTTATATTCGAACTGTTTGGTAGTAATGCATCTGCATCTAGTTAATCATGGAGGTATATGTTAATAATGTGCTTGCTATCTGAAGAGCTCAGTAAAGCTGTCCCTTAAAAAAAAAAAGTACTTATTTATAGTAATAAATATGCTTAAAAATTTTATTTTATATTTACTTCTCCAGATGATTGTATGGAACCTTTGGAACTGCCATTGAACATCCCTAACGACATCCTCCCAGAAGGAGACGGTTGGTCTGGAGACTTCATAACATTCAACTATGAGGAAGAGAAATTGGTGACCATATTAAGGATGTCAGGAGCAGGTCCATCCACAAATGCCTACTTGGAGCGATTTATCATCGTTTACAAAGAAACAAAATCAGAATACATTCAAACTTTACGTGGTCAAGACGGAACACCTTTGGTAAGCTTTCGTGTGTTTGACATTCTAAAATTTCGCATAATAATTTTGGTAAAGCTGTTGAAGTCTTGAAAGAAGAGTAATTTGTAGAAGTCAAGAAAATCCTTCAAACCGGACAAAAAACCAGACACTTTGCTTTACATGCAGACTGCAGAATATGCCTTAACACTGGGGTTTTGTTATAAATCCAAATCTATTTGGGAGAATGATTTTACTATAGTATGTTTGTGTATGCGTTGTGTCAATCCACCCTCTGTGAAAAAGACTAATATGATACACCTTAAATTTTACCTCTGATGAGGAGCTCTAGAAATACTCAGTTGATTGATTAATAAATGTTTTTTGTTGATCTTTTTTTTGTTGATCTTTTTTGTATGGGCGGCCGTTAGGGCCAATACACTCTACTGCCTCTATTATACTGCCCTCATCAGAGCTTTCAGGATTACGAGGAATTGTTTAAGTATTTGATAAAACAATATTTTTATCAATTTTTTTTTCTTTCTTCATAGGTTTTCAAAGCTAATCATGATGACTCTACTAGCATAGAAGTTCCACTACCTCTCGGTGGTCTACGAGCCCAGTCTATTACAATTGTACCATTGGTCACTCCAGATCACCCATCCAAACTTAAGATGACCGTACTTGGATGCAAGTATACAGGTAACAAGAATTATAAGGATATAGTATGATATAAGCAGCAGTTCAGTCAGTTATTAGCTGTAGCCATTTTGTGTATGTGCTGACACGGGACGAGTGGGCCCTTGCTCAATCTCATTGCAGTTGTCTCTGTGTAGGTCTACAGATGAATTTATATTGCCTCTGTAATATACACCACCATTGTTACTTTTTCAAAACAGGACAAGAACCACCAGCTTTGACGCCGATACCTCTTGATCAGAAGACTAGTCCAGCTACACAAACCACGCCACTTATGGTAACAGAAATTCCAGGCCTTACTGGTTCGGGACCAGATGGATCCTTCCTACCAGGAGAGATGTTGAAGTTCCACTGTTTGAACTGGTAGGTAAAACTTTAGTAAACTCTTCAAAAACATGAAATAACTAAGCCGTGCAATGTTCCTAGAAATTGTGATAAGAAGTAATGTACTGTAATGTATTTTTTAAATAAAAATTTGATTCATTCATTATTATCTTATATATAGATCTTGTATGTATTATTTGTGTCTCAATGTTGATGATTATAATGATTATTTGTCTCTGTTCAGCACCTGTGAAAATGGCGCCCTTAACTGCACAGACAAAGATTGTGCTCACATGACAGAGTGGTCAGCATGGACAGTATGCACTGCCACATGCAACGGAGGGCATCAAGTACGTGAACGTCTTTGCATCGGAGATTCGGCTGACAATCCTTGCCCAGGCGATGAGTTAGAGGAGCGTCATTGCAACGAAGATCCTTGCCCAGGTATGTTGTTGCATTTGTTATCAAGTTATATAGAAATTAGGACAAGTCTAAAAAAAAACAAACTTATAAAATGATCGAAACTTCAACACAATAAACAGTTGTGTATATTAATTTCAGTTGACTGCGTCTATTCTGAGTGGTCAGATTGGAGTGAGTGCCCTGTCACATGTGATGGTGGTCAGGTGTTCAAGTCACGTGAGATCATTGTTCCTGCTTTGTTCGATGGCGTACCTTGCACCGAACCACTGACTGGCTCAAAACATTGCAACATGGAACCATGCTGTGAGTACACTTAAGTATTTCTGCACCTGACCAATTCATATACTTTACAATAGTTGACAAGTTCAATTTATATTTTAAAATTCCACTAAAGTTTGAAGTTTATTGGTAGAATATATAATGTTAGATTTTCAAAAGTTTATCATTCTCTCATGATTAACACGATATATCATATTTATAATTCTATTACTTACTGAAGATCATATGCTCCCAAAAGTGATAAATACTTCAACCAACACATTTTTTGTAATATTACAGTCATCATGTATTTAAACAAATTTGAAATAAATTTCATTAAATAACTACTGTAATTAATACGCCTATTTTTGAAAACTGGTAAAAAAATACGACAAGTTAAAATAATGTAAATCAATGATTGCTTATCCTCTATTTAGTGGTATGTGTAGAACCTTTGATTGAGTCGGATTGTGCCAACGTTTGCCCTACAACATGTGGTGACATGCAGGATGGGAGTAACTGTCAACAAGAAGATTGTGTCCCAGGCTGCAGATGCCCCGATGATATGGTAAGATTTTTTTTTTTTTTCTGCTGAATTTTTTTTGGCCCTACTTATGATAGATTGGTTGATTTTTGTAAAATTATTTTTTTATTTTTGTGAATTACTTCTAATTAAACTAAAAGCAAATGTGATATAACACTTCTTTGCAGAATTGTCCTCATTATCATCATTTTATCAACTTTTAATATTTGACAAATATTAAGATATTTTTGTTAAATAATTTCAGCTTATTTGTATTTGACTCTGGTTAATATAAATCTGAAATGTTTAAGTTACAGTAACTCCATAAGGCCAAATAAAAGACATTATTAGTTTCTTGTCCCCTCACTCATCCATTTTCTTTGCCTCACCAATTTTTTTAATTTAATTTCCTTTATTTTACGAAATGTACGAAATTCTGGCTAATTCACATCTGTAAAATTCCTCTCGATCGGCGGTGGTTGTGGATACATATGGCATGAATCATATCTAGTGCTTCTTTTATTTGCTTTCAATGTGTCTACTTGGTTAAATTGAGAAAGTAGTATAGCTGCTTCCCATCGACCATCTTAAATTTTCCATCTCGGAGTAAAAAATAAAGAAAATAAAAAGTGCCCTCGTTCGCCTCTTATTTTGAAAATATTAGGACGAGAAACTATTTTTTTTTTTAACTTGGCCTAACATCTTTTTTTGAATTTTTATTAAGTTCCTTTTACGTAAAAATGTTTGATATTGCATCTAGAGTTTCCAAAACAACATATAAATTATGATACGATATAAACTGATTAATGTCAGGTATTGCAAGACGGCGAATGTGTACATCCAAATGAGTGTCGCTGTGTTGTTGACCCGTCTGTGTTTGGAGACAATCCTCTGTCAGAAAGGGATACCGAATACGCACCTGGAACCGTTATCCAACACAAGTGCAACAACTGCACTTGCGAAGTTGGTGGATTTGTCTGCACAGAGGAAAATTGTGATGGTAAGAATTGATGTTACTAAACAATTCAAAATAGAAACCTGCATTACTTCATCAATTAATCATTAGTTGTGTTCCTTTGATGGCTAGACTATTTTGAACACGTTTGTTCAGCTTGTCCTTTATGATTTGTGTATGTTTTAGTTATTCTGTAGTTGACTCTGACTCCAAACTGTATAATACTGTAATCCTCTTCGAAGTTGAAATTAACAGATGTTTCTGAAGGATAAGGCAGTTCAGTCTACTTGCCAGATGTTTAGTCTGGCACAGTATATATATAATAATGACTGGTATTTTATTCATCATTAAGGAGAGAAAAAAATACTCCCATCAACAGCCTCAGTGCCTTGGGATAAATTGCATTGCATGATAACAGATTTAATATTTTTTTTAAATAATGTTGACGTTTTAAATATTATTAATTGATGACCAATTAAAATGCAGAAATGCAGAATTATAAAAACATTCGTTTCTTAATACTTACAGTTGACTGTGGTTGGAGCGAATGGTCTGATTGGTCCGAATGTTCAACCCCATGTGGAACAGGCACAAGGACAGCTTCGCGCACTCCTGATAACCCCGCCAGACAGTACGGCGGCGCAGAATGTTATGGAGAAGACATAAAAGAGGAAGAATGCTATGCAGGAGATTGTGGTACGTCAACCTTTTATGAAGCTATTGGTCAATGATTTCCTTTCAAAAAATATACATTGCCTCCATAAATAAACATTAATATTGTAGTTCCTCTGGTATAAGCCCACACTCATATATAAATACCCAATACCAGTACCAGTACTTCATAAGTTTTAAATATTTTTCATGAATTTTTTTACAAGTCCTTCACTAACTTAGAGGTCTTGACTGGAAACTACTACTAAAAGGTATAATGAACCAGTTATGAATTTAATCAACCAGAACCAGAATCTAACCCTGGGCTCAGGCTGGACCTATATAC